TATCCTACACTACGGACGCCCTAGTGTATGCACAGTCCTTGTGATGCCAGAAATGCTTACCCCTCTTTCCAGCGCAAGGCATACATAAGCGGGGGGTAAATTTACCCCCCAGATTTGCAATAACCATACACCGGCTATTTCCTCAAGACACTCTATTCCATATACCTTTTACCCGTGCTTCTCCTACACTACGGACGCCCTAGTGTATGTACAGTCCGTATGATGTCAGAAATGCTTACCCCTCTTTCCGACTCAAGGCATACAAAAGCGGAGGGTAAATTTACCCCCCAGATTTGCCGATCACGCATCTTCGTGCCTGCCAACGAGTGCACCCGGGTTGTTCCAATGTACCCTTCCCAGTCAGCGATGTCACATTTACATTCTTTAGCGCAAAGTATGTACATAGCAACCTTCCTCCCAAAACATGTCATCCCTACATGCTTTGCCGACTATGTAACTAGTACATCCGGTGCGATTCGGCTAGCTTTCGACCTCTCCCCCTGGCCTCAAGTTTCACAGCTGCTTGCATTTACCGTCCATGTGGAGAAAACATCAAATGCTCCTGGCATGCTTCTGCCAGGAGAGGAAGCACCGCATGGTGAAGCGCATAGTGAACCAAGTGAACAACCCTGCCCGGTCATTTGAAAAGAGCGTCATGCAGGACACGACTCTGAGACAGTTCGAGATGATGGATGACGAGGTTTCGATTCCACGCGCGTGGCCATGTTTGTTGGAAGCGCAGCCGGCTTCATCAAAGATCTCTGACATGATTTCGATGGCCCTTCAGCTTCCTGCAAATGTTGATGTCAAGTCTTCACGAAGGGGCATCACGGGCGGCTCTTCTGAGGTGGCAGTTGGCGATGTAGTGGTCTTCCTTGAGGCCAGGGTCGACCGCAAACACGTTGGCTCTGTCAAGTGGCTCTGCCAGATTGAGGACACATGCATGGCATGCCTCGACGTGTGGGAGCATGTGGCGAAGTCTCTGTACAGAGTGGTCGACAACTGCCAACTTGTGCCTCTTGCATCTGTCACAGACACGTGCATGTACAGCATCAAGGAAGGGGGAGCGCTCGTGATCTGGTGAAAATAGGGTTTCTGCGTCAAGCTGTCAACATGTTCATGGGGCTCACATCACATGCAGTCAACATGTTCACGAGGCCCACATGACATGCACGAACACGTTCATGAGGCCCACATGACATGCAGTCAACGCGTTCAGGGGATCATACCTGACATGCACTGTCCCCTCGCAGGTGACTGGAACCCTTTTGGGGAAACACTTAGGACACTTACTAACTGTTCTAAGTGCACATAGCTAAGTGCGCTAAGTGTTTTCGTATGTGTTGTATATGATTAGTATGTATGCTAAGTGTTTACTAACCACGGTGGACCTTTAAGTAGCATGTGAGTGGCCAACCTCCTGGTTTACAAACATCAGTTGGCGGACAAGTTCCCCTGGTTACACAGGCCAAGGGCGTGAAATTGACACAAATGCCCCTGGTGGAGTTGGGCCTGGCAGATGCAATGCCAAGTGCCCCTGGCCGAGGACGTGTGCAATGCGAACCGAAGGGGAAAGAAAGTAGCTGAATGGTTTCGAGATGCTTTCCGAATGGCCCGCTTCTTTTGCACATTCGTGCGTCCCTGTTTGTGAGCTGTGTATTGTCACAAGCCAAGCCCGAACATGGTTTCCAAATATCAATCTCTCCAAGTCCACTTGGTTTTCCCCTGTTTGCCCACATTGTTTTGGAGAATCTGGAAGCTGTCCAGGACAGCGCTGGGGCTTTGGCCGGCATTTGGCAGCAGCCGTTTGTGCCATGGTTTTGGCCGAAGATTTGGAACAACTCTCGGACCTCGCGCCGTGCTCCTCGCCTGACACTCGCGGAAGCTGAATCAGGCAAGTTTACTTGTAGAAGTTCACTGAAGTTCTCTTGACACCCTTCGCTTGATGCTTGATGTTGGACAGAAGTCTCAGAAGACTTGAGGTTGCAGCCTTGGGGCCAAAGCGCCAGAGTTCCTGGAAGCTTTATTTGTTCCATTGGCAGCCTGCGTCATTCCCCTCCGCAAGAGCATTGAGCGTCTGAACGAGCGATTTGGAGATCGCTTGCTAGCACTACTTCAGTCCAAGGCTGGGAGTTTGAGCGAGGCATAGGACAAAGAGGTGAAGACATGGTTACTAGTAGCGATGCACTTGTTTCTACTAGCTTCTTGTTACTACTAGTAAGGCACTTGTTACTAGTGAAAGAGCCAATATTCATAATATGTCTAGAGTCTAGAATTCGTCCAGGCTAGATTGTTCTCGAGAAAACGAGTTGCTACGGACCTGGCCTGTTTCGTCTAGAATTTTGTGCCAAAACTCGTGTCATATGTGCCTATGTACACTGTCCGATTCTCTGCACTGCCATACCGATCAACAGATATTGACAGACTTGGAAGAGTCTGAGCACATTGGTGCTTCGGCACCAGACTGATGAGGCAAGCCAGGTCTTTGCGTTTGCGTTGCAGCTGCCTTTCGTGACATTTGGATGTGCTCACCCTGTGGACGTCGACAGCATTGCCACAGCTTTTCGGGAAGTAGCTCCGCAAGTGGCTTGATGGGCATCAGCAGTGTAAGCCAAGAGCAACGGTAGAGTGTAGCGTTGGAGGTGTATATAGGATAGCTATGTCAATATACTATAATTATACAATATATTTATGTAAGTTATACAATTAGTAGTTCAAGTATGCACTGAATTCAGCAATGATGTGCCGCGACGACCCTGTTCAGAATGTCTCTGAATGCTTGAGGTGGAATGGGTCGACACGAGCAGATTCGTTTCCAAACATTTCAGGGAACCTTGGTTTTGAGATGGTTCGAGCATCTTCAAAGCAAGCGTGGGGCTCAGGGATTTTGGGGGATAGTTTTTCACGCTTGCTTTTGTTCCTAGTTTCAGCTGCTGAGGATTTGCTCTACTTGCTGGATCCTGTTATTCGCGCTTGGTCTCCACATTTGCCTCAGACCACCGTGATTCTGCTGCGCAGTTTGATTGGCTGGGCGGGGCCATTGAATGGAAGCCGGTTGCGCGTGGCCCTGGCCATGCTTTTGCAACATTCCGAGATGCCACCCAAGCAGCGCATTGAACTAAGCCTCTTGGATCGGACATGTGCAACCACCCGCCAGCTGGGTATATGTGGGTATTGGTTCATGAATCGAAAGATGGTTCAAAATTCCGTGCTCTCACTTAAGACCAGTTTGCTCATTCTGTTGTGCTGTTCAGGCAGAGTTGTTGCGAAGGCGATTTCAGCAGCTGGACACAGCACGGGAGGGCTGATGAAGTTGGTGAAACACAGGGACGAGACGATCACGTTGATCCTCTCCAGAGTGGAGCATGAGTGGTCTACAGCGGCTCCTGCAGCCATTCGAGGCGGCAAGCACCATAAGAGTGATCAAAACGGCCAAATTCTCAACTCCAAGATGCAAAACGAGAGTCAATGACTTGAGCTTGCAGCTTCGGCACTTACTGTATCCAATTGTCGCCTCTTTTGCACCGGAACATGACAAATACATACAGAATGTCATGTTGGATTGCTGCCTGGCAATTATATTTTGTGTGAGCAATTCAGCATGCACTTTGCGACCCAGTTGAAACAGTTTAAAGCTTGACGAGTTCAGTGGTGGACTTGTGTACTACAGTGTTGTTGGTGGCCTCACAGCGCCATACAGCCAAATGTGCCACAGATCACTGTAAAAAACTACAATATCTAACTATCAGGATTTTGCCAATGTCATCGTTGACGGGAGGTGAGTCGGGCCCTGCCGAACGAAGCCCTGCTCTCTCAGCATTGCTGGCAGTCCTTAGTGCATTGAAATTTGGAGAGAGCCCAGCATCTGGAGTGGTTTGGCTGCAGCTGCACCTGGAAGCAATTCTGCCAAGGCCAGAAACTGCCTAGGCTTGTCCACCTTCCTTCGGATCCTTCGGACATGTTTGAAATTCCTGAGGCTCAAGAAGTGAGCGTAGGCCCATACACCTGAGTCTTAGCCAGAATGATGCTGCTGCAGCATGTTAGGAGGGTGACTGGAGGGTATGTTGTGTTCCATCATCCATGCAAAGAGGACAATTTGATTTCCATATAAAGAATGCGTATTTCGGGTGCGTGTCCCGTGTCCCTGTGCTAAGAGTATTGATCCATTTGACCAGTACATGCCGCAATTGTGCTTGCCTGAGTTTAACGATGTTTTTTTTTTTTTTTTTTTTTTTTCGCATTTCAACTCTTGCATGATCCTGATGATGGCATGTCAGGCTCGTCCCAGAAGCTCAAAGGCTGGTGGCCTCTGCAGCTCATTTGGAACTTCCTGAAGAACGGTCGGCCAAGCGGCTTCGGCGGACAGCCACAGCCAGGCACAACCAAAGCAAGCTTGGTGCAAGCTGAGCCGTGACAACTTCAAGGGGGTTCCTCCTCTCACCAAGCAGACTAGTTGAATGGTTCTTGTTCGGATGGGGCTGCATCAAATTGTTGTAGAGTTACACTATGTTGCCCTGTGAGGCTTGGCATGGAGGCAGCTTTGCGACAGTTGGCGCCGTTGCCATCCGTTGCTTGGTGGAGAGCTGAAGAATGGCACGGTGTGGGTGGTGAGATAGCTATGCATAGCAGCTGCGCTTGCGCCACGCATTGAGTTCTAATGCACGTTGGGGTGTGTTTCAATGATAAAAGCTGAACCATCATGATTCTGCAGAGACAGGCGCCTGATGGGTTTTGGGATGAGAGCTAGTTGGCCCAACAGTTTGCACTCATCGTGTATCGTGTGGTTGCTCATTCAGATTTGTAGCTCAGGAGTGTTGGTACACAACATAACCAAGATGAAGAGTCGTCAGATTCTGTTGGACTATGGCGATGTTCAGTAAAGTGTACAAACTATGGATTCATTCAACAATCATTGCATGCTAAGATCATTGCTTTCTTGTCAGCATTGCTAGCCCTAGGTCAGGTGTAGAATCCTAATCCGCTTGGACCAGAGAGGGTGTGCCAGCGTTCCTCCGCATTGGACCACTGAGGATCTCACCTGGGGTCCACCGTCCTCGCCTGATCTAGGGTGCATTGTGAGATGTTTTCCAGAAACCAAAAGCGATGAAGCTGGTGAAGAGGTGGGCAAGATAGTCATCAGAGTGCCAGCACAGAACGCCCAAAAAATACAGCTAGGAGATCGATCGAAAATTGAAGGAGACATAGCGAATGCAGCTAGGAGTCTAGGAGTTTCTGACATTTACTTTCAAGTCTCATTCCTTGATTCTTGACAGCTGAAAGCATGTGAAATAGTTGTCCTAGCAAGCTGTTTGTTTTTGTTCGCAGGTGATCTACACAAGCCTACGTCTTCTTGCGCAGGCCTTCATAATGCCGTTTATAAGTTGAGGAGATGAAGGAACACTGCAATGAAATTCATTGAATCTAACATCAGAAAGGCTGAATGATTGGCAGGACTTGTACATGATATATAAAAAGCATTATTGTATTGTAGGTCGATCATTCCTTTTGCTTTGAAGTTGTGACTTTGAGTTGCCGGCACTGGCGGCATATGATGTATTAATTGAAGAGCTTGTCAGCCACTGTTTGCCTGTCGAGCTCTCCATTTTTGCAGGGTTCGCCGGAGCAATTGCGGAGTGACCCGCCCTTGGCTCGAGAAACTCGGTGAAGAAGTTCTCCGAACGCATGGCGCCTGCACATGGCGCCTCCCAAAGTCATATCGTCATATGGTAGTCTCTATGACTCTATGACTCTTCTATGACTCTATGATGCTCTATGTCAATGTGACCATAGGGTACCCTATCAATTCTTTGTGCACTGCTGCTTGGTTGACAAAACACGCCTCGTTCCCAAGGCATTGGCTTTGGGCCTAGCCTCTTTGAAGCCCGCTGCCAACAAGGCCAAAAGGGCCAATCATACTGTGGGTGGGTCAAATGCAGCGTGCTACATCGGCTCTTCCACAGAGTCCATTCAACAATGGCTTTATACTTGTTGATAGTTTCCAGGTTGCGTTGCGGCCCGCCGCAGTGCAACCTTGTGTGGGAGTAGGTGCTAGATGATACTGGTAAAATGTCTTGTATTGGTTCTATCACAGCACACGTTGAAATGCTGTTCCTCCAGTCTTCCGGCAACTACTCAGATACCTCCCAAGCAACACATCAGGCGCAGAGTGTGATTTGTCAAGATGTGGTGGAGGCATCTTTGGGAACCCATCGCGCTACTTGGCCTTTCATTGATTGAATGCCTCACCTTATTTGTGCGGTGGACATCAGAATTGCCCTAAGGTCGATGAGCTCCTCTACTCTGTGGCACTGCTGGGTGCCACGCACCTACAAGCACATCCTCTTGCCAGCGTGAGGCAGTGGCTCAGCAACCACGCATTGGGAACAGTTCACTGAGGCGAATATTGGCTTTCACCATGAGGTTGATTAGGGTGAGATTCAATGAGTCTTTACGCCAACTTCCCCTGAAGCCAACAATTCACTGCAGCAGACATGGGTCTCAGAATCTAGGTTGCAAATGTTCTCTCTGGGTTGCTTTACTGCATCTATGTTCATCGAGGATGTCTGGCAGAGCGCTACGTCACCTGATGGCCGCACAGCGCCTGGGCAGACAAGTCAGATGTAGACTCCGAACATTTCATTGCTGGAGTCCGATGTGTGAAGTAAGTAAGTAAGTGCGTGCGTGCGTGCGTGCGTGCGTGGGTGGGTGGGTGGGTGGGTGGGTGTGTGTGTGTGTGTGCGTTCTCGAAGCAATTCCAAGCCAATCAATCCCAGCCACCCTGTAAATGTTTGTTTGCAGAGTGCCTGATGTTTACAAGGATTTGCAGATGCGTAATTCTGATCGGCTCAGGAAGCAATTGTGCCAATCAGCCAGGCAGGCATTGTCGAAGCTGCTGTGCACAGGTCATTTAGCCATCGAAGATTTGGATGAGCTGCTGGGTTTTGCTTTAAAGATACAGTAAGTTCCTAGTCTAGCTGTACCATGCCGTACCATGTTTCAGCCCGTTTGTTTTCTGCCCTTCGTGGCTATGTGCCAAACAAGGTTAAGTAGTTTGCAAGCGTCCTCGCTTGGCGCCGCACATCCCAATGGGACAATCTCAGCCCCGACGGGGAAGATATCTTGGCAGTTTACACGTTCAGAGTCTGACATCTCTTTGTGGATGAGTGGTTTGTTTGCACATTTGCTCAAATTGGGTGGCTCGCCTTCAATTTGGCACTTTCTTTGCGGGGAAAGCTGTGCGCATTGAGAAGTGTGAAACTCGTAATGGTGGTGGATGCGAACCTCCAAATTTGCCTAGAGTCATCAAATCGGGACTATGGTGGTGCATTCAGAGTCGGACCATTATATATACTGTATATATATATATATACATTATATAACTATAGTTTGCTCGTTGTTGGCTCCAGCTCTAAATGGAGCTAGTGCAAGATGCCAAGTGCTGAGGCTCCGTCGTTTGGGATAGCGCCGGGATCGCTTTGCTCAGTGCTTGTGCGCCTTTGGCGAAGCATGCCACTGACGCTGCATGGTTCTCGGAACGCTTGCTGGTGCTTTTGTTGGTGAAGGCAGCCACCATGGCGAAGAGTGCAAATTCCTTGGCGAAGGAGAATTGCGTGAAAAGAATGAAAGTCGGTGTTCAAGAGATCGAAACATTATCATTATCGTCAATTATTGTATGTCTTTGCTACGGACTGGCCCGATGCCTGGCAATCGCCGCGCATGGCCGTGCCCTTAGGTTTGGTTTGCGATGGTTTGCGATACCCAAGGAATGGCCACGCCAAAAGCAAAATGATGGGAATTTGTCCCTATAGTTGCTGACGAAGAATCAAGATAAAGTGGGTTGATGGTAGAAAATGGTAGAAACCATCTGGAGTTTGTGGGTTGCAGTTTAGCACGCCACCCCTGATTGGGTGAAGTGATTCAATACTTCAACTAGATAATGTCAAGACCGGATTGATAACCCCCCCACATGGTAGGTTAACAAGGTCAAGAAGATATGAGATACCACTCGTGAGGTCCACATCCCCTGAACAATCTGCTAATCGGCTAAGGGAGTAGAAGTAGTCGTCGTCGTCGTCGTCGTCGTAGTGGTAGTGGTAGTGGTAGTGGCAGTGGCAGTGGCAGTGGCAGTCGTAGTAGTAGTAGTAGTAGTAGTAGTAGTAGTGGTGGTAGTAGTGGTAGCGGTAGCGGTAGCGGTAGTGGTAGTGGTAGTGGTAGTCGTAGTCGTAGTCGTAGTCGTAGTAGTAGTAGTAGTAGTAGTAGTAGTAGTAGTACTATTGGTAGTGGTAGTGGTAGTGGTAGCGGCAGCTGTAGTAGTAGGAGGAGTAGTAGTAGTAGTAGCAGTAGCAATAGCAGTAGCAGTTGCAGCAACAGTAGCAGTAGGAGTAGTAGTAGTAGCAGTAAGAGTAGGGGTAGGAGTAGGAGCTCCTAATAGTAGTAGTAGTAGTAGTAGCAGCAATAGCAGTAGCAGTAGCAGTAGCAGTAGTAGGAGGAGTAGTAGCAGCAGTAATAGTATAGTTCGACATTGACCTGGTTGTGGGCTTAGGTTGGCTGGGGGGGGGTTCTGGTGCCCAACCAGAGAACTAGGGGGAAATCAGCCACCGATAATACTTTTATTTTGGTCAATTTCCGGGGCTTTGTGGGCTCGGATTAACAAGAGGGGGTTATTAATCCTGAGTTGACATTACAGTAGATCAAGTGGTAGGTAGACTGGGCTTTGGGTTTGAGGACCTGACAGTCTTCTTCCAGCAGCGCTCTCCGGACCATGCTCAAGCTAGATGCCTCTTGCGAGCTTTGCATCTCATCCGGGTGCACCAAAGCAATTTGCAAGGTAGAGCCGTTCCCCATTTTCCAGCTGATTTGCAGGTTCTTTGGCATTTGGCGCTTGAACATTTTCTGCTTTTCTTCAGCTGGTTTCACATGTTTTTTTGAGAGAAAGTTGGGTATATAGAAACATGCGCATCGCTTGAGGATCCGTTTTGGTCCTCCATGGATCTTTTTGCTGCGGCAAATTGTGCCGCCAATATCTCCAACCCTGAATATGCATTCCTTCTGCTGGAGCTGCACCTTCAAAAATGCAAACCCGATTTGCCCTTGGAGGAAGCCTTGGAATTCCTCGGTGGAGGTGGGGGCATGCAGGGAGTTGAGGCACTATTTCAACCTCCTTTGCAGGAAGTCCGATTGTTGCATGATCTAGCTCGCCAGCTTCCAGACGATGAATTGCTGTACGGCAAGGGTGATTGGTGCCATACATCCTCCCGCTTGGCTCGTGCAGATTTGGCACAGGACAACCTCACCAGTATCCACCTGAGAAATGAACTCTTGGAGTTTGCTTTGCAGCAAAAGAATGCGGAGGCCGAGAAAGAAGCACGTCATGGCCTGGATGTTGCCATTGCACGCTTGGGTTGGCACTCGTTGTTGACGAGCTCTGTGTTGGAGCCGGAAGACAATGAGGCCTGGGAGCAGCGTGCTGAGGCTTTGTGGAGAATGCGGCAGTGGGGGCCCATCGAAGGAATGAAGCATCAGAGCTTTCATTCAAGCATTCATACTGCCTTGTCTGGCCTTTCTTCTGCAGTGCAAGCTGTCGATTCAGCTTGCACAGCTGGATGCCTGCTAAGTCCTTCGGCTAGTCATGATTTCTCACTGGCAGTGGCTGCGCTGGAGAGACCTCTGCTCAAGATGGTTGCTACTTCTGTTGGAGAGATTCAGCTCCAATCACCCGAGAGTTTACAACTGAAGGCAGTCCATCTTCAGATGCTAGGATCAATTTTCCATTGCGCTGATGCTTTGGTGATGGATGTGCACAAGAAGACACAGGTTCAAGGGCAAAGTCGTGGTGTTGCGACACTGGCTTCAAGCTGGCAAAATGTGAAGCCGTCTGAAGCCGCTATGCACTTTGTCCACGTAGAGCCACTCTTCGCATTGCAAGCCTCAATTCTGGCTACCGCTGCTCATCCTTTGCCAGAATGCCGCTTTTTGACGGCTCTTGCAGGGCTTGCGCGCGAAGCTGGCTGGACACATCGGGCATTGCTCCTACTGGAGCGCGCCCAGCGTGCAACGAGCAATGCGAAGCTGACAAGGCAAGACAACCTCATGTTGCGTTGGGAGCAGGCACGGTGTCTTTATGAGCTGAAATCAAGCGAAGCCCTGAGTATTGCCAAGGCCGTCGCCGCTGATTGCAGAGGCGACCTGGCTGGTGGTTGTGGTGGCAACGCTTGGGCCGCACAAGTTTTGAGCTGTACTGGACTCTGGCTCTCTCAGTCACGTTTGGAGAGCGCTGACGTGATTCAGAAGGAATACTTTGAAGCCGCTGTGGCACTTGATCCGACTGGAAACCATGCCGGCCGTCAGTTTGCAGACTTCCTTGACAGTCGCCTGTCTGAAGAGTTGACACGCCAGGGCTCTGCTGCCCATGCCCGCACCATTCGCACGCGCAAACTCACGGAGGCCAACATTGCCCGGGTACAGTCAGAGATTGATGCTTTATCCCGCAGGAGGACGCTCACGGCTCAGACCCAAGAGGAGATCAGGAATCTTAACGAGCAGAAACGAAAGCTGGAAATTTCTAAAGAGGAAGACCAAAGATCCGTGCAATCGGAGAAGGAGCGATTGAAAGCCTTGACCACAGGTTGCATAAGGCAGCTTGGACGCTGCCTGTCGACTGGTAGCGAAGGCTTGACTCAAGTGGCCTGCCGCTTTTTGTCTCTGTGGTTCGACTACAGCTCCGAATATCCTGAAATCACTCCGATTATCAAAGAAGCGACTCCGAAGCTTTCACTCACTCCTGTCATGCCCTTCATCTACCAGCTGGCCTCCCGCTTGGAGATGAAGGAGAATGGTGGTATGTTATGCATGTGGTCAGGGCTGTAGTGATGCATGCCTTGCAACTTCTTCTGAATTCTAATGAGCTCTATACGTCCCTTTCAGTCAGAATTTGTTTCCTTGAAGCCAGTATCAAATGGCTTTCCTGCGTGCATGGGTGGAAAAACAAGATTATCAATTTTCAGTTCAGTTCCTTGAAAAGGATATTATATATATAGACTGTAGAATCTAGATTGACCACTTAGAGGACATTGGCGAACAGCCAATCGCATTTTGTGTTGATGTGGCCAGGACACACACTTCCAACGGACTCTTGATGAGCTACTGCTTCGATTGTCCCAAAAGGGCTCCCCAGCCTTGTGGCCGCTCATTTTGCTTCGAAATGGTGATCAAGTGCCCAGGTCGGCCTGTGCTGTGCCGTATGTAACATATATAATAGTTACTTACTGTATATAAATATACATAAATATATATATATATATGTATACGCAATGGCGCTAAGGCTGTTTCCGCAAAACTCCTTGAAGCAATGGAGAGCCCGTTTTTCTTGCTATGCAAGTGTATTCCTGGCATGCCCTGCTTGCAGGGGCGGATCTACTTCCTTCAAAGCAGACATCTCGAAAGTTCAAGCTGCGAAGAGAGTCATTGAGAAGATTCGAAAGGTTCCCTCCGTGCGCCCAGCACCTTGGCTGCCACGGAATTTCTCAGAGGAGGGGTATGTCTTGACACACTTTGAAGGAGTCAATTGACATGATGAGCATGCTGAAGCTCATAGCAGCGCAGGTCCTGGAAGCAGTGGATGTTTTGAGCGCTTTCTATTTGGCGATCGCGTTCTATCCGGTCGACAAGAAGAATCCAGCAAGTCGGGACATGAACATCAAATTGGGACAGATCCCCGAGTACAGAGATGTGGCAAAGGTCGGGTCACTTGAATCGACTGCAGAAGACAGAATCTTCATAAACATCGTGGGTCATATATAGGTGGATCACAGCAAGTGATTGACACTTTTGCTCTATCCTTTACTGGAAGACCAGGAACAGTACGCAGCATTGTGCAGGTCCAGATAAGTGCTGTGTAGTGTGCTGTGTTATCATGTGTTTGCTCATTGGAGGCTTTGCAGTCTTCCAAAGTTCCTGTACCCACAGCAGCTTTCGACTGCAGCGTTCCCAACATCAAGCACTTTGTTGCTTCTTGGTCGAAGATAGGCAGCGGGGGCAGGCCTTGGAGGGAGTGCAGCATCCAGGATGCATGTTACTGTAGTTTCCTTCTGATGTTTCCATACGTTTCCCAATTCAATGGTGCGCTCCTTTTCTTGTTTGTTTTGATCGTAGAACAAGAAGAATGAACCATGATGTAGCTTTGGCGAAGAAGTAGTTTGGATTCTTTCATTGGTAGTAATACCATTCACGTTGATTTTTTGTGCCTGCCTGATCAAGGATGGCATCAGCATTGCAAAGCAGGGCATCTCATTCCCGAAGGTTGTACCGCGCTTAGTGCAACATCAGATTTGATGCTGTGCCAGATGGGAAACAATGTTTACTTGTTAAAGCAAATTACTTAAATGAGTTGATTGGATTCTGCCAGATTCCAGATATATAGTTCCATCCCATGAACTATCCGAAAGAAACATGACAAGCTCATCAACTTTTTGCATCTTTTTGCGCCATTGGTGCAAGGCATGGAGTGGATTTTGTCAGCCCCGAGGTGAAACTGGTTGATCTTGAGGGTCGTGAGTACAAACAGCTGGTAAAGGGCGGAGATGATTTGAGGCACGGTCTGGGGTGGCCAAGGCCAAAGAGTGCTTGGAGCTGCCGAGGGCTTGTACAAAGACGTTTGGTGTTATCATGTGATAATTCAGTCAGACTTGGTCCCCAGATTTGCCGTTGGAGCATTGAACCGTGGTGAGTATATAGAAAGACGTGGCCACTCATGCCTACTCAGCTGCTCCATGTTGTTTTGGCGAACTCCGTGTTCCAAACACGCTGCTCCGTGCAGGCAAGATGCTGTGATGCAGCAGCTTTTTCGTTTGCTGAACGATGTCTTCAAGGAACGGAGCCCACATGAGACCCCCACTGAGACATGCACGAAGACCACATGAGACTCATAGGATATGTGCAGTTATGATATGCAGTACTTTGTTTCATTACTACTCGATTTCTGTGGCCCAAAGTCCTAAGTTTGTGGATAAGCTATAATAGACCCAATAAGCATGAACACACGGGATGGAAAAGGGGAGACCATCCCTTTCTTTTAGACAGAACATGGGTCAATTGATGGTCGATGTAAAATTAGGTAAATGTGGGGAGCTCAATGGTTCAACTTCAGGCCTTGAATCTTCGTGTTTATCTTCGTCTTTTTTTTTAGGGTGGCCTGCGGATGTGGCCGACAAGGAAAAAGGCAAAGACTTTTTGCCACAAATTCTGAGAACCAGGTTTGTGATGTAAGTTTCGATGTGTAGATCCTTCACCTCGAAGGTTTGAACAACTGCAGGAGAATGCCAAGTCTTCTGCTCAGCTGCACTTGCGCACCTTCCAAGTGGTGCCCTTGTCGCCCCAAGCAGGCTTGGCCAAACATGCTCCGGACGGAAGAGCAACCAGTAGTAACTCAGTAGTAGGATGTGGGGATGTGGTCAACCCTGGACCTACAATGTTGACATGATTGTTATCCGTGAGGGAGCTGGACTTAGGCCTGTCACCTGAAAGTCCAAACTGGCCTAAGCCTTCTCAGTGAAGCATACTTGCACGATTTCGAAAGCCTCATTGAGAATACGCAGGGAAAGAACAGCTTGCGAATTTGCTGGAAACGTTTCACTCCAGGAATCGTGGAATGGGTGGCCAACACTATAACAGTTGGAGAGATCCTTGTTGGGCCTACTGGCAATCCCGAAGCTGGTGCTCACTACAGGCTGGCCAACGAGAAAAATCTGTTCAAAGACACCTGCCTGGGTAAAGGTGTGTAAAGAACGTGGGACGGGTGCAGTTCCAGGAGACGTGCCAACATCTTTGTATAACCGTTACCAACGAATCCTAAGGCATGAAACGTGATGTAGGACGACAGCAAATGCAAGTGAGCGTATGCTTGCATGCTTGCTGAGCACTTGAGCTTGGGAGGTATCGACCAAATGATTGGTGTCATGGCACATGTCGGAAGAAGCTGGCGGATGTGAAAGATATGGCTGACAGCTGCAAGCTCCAGACCTTGAAAGAAATCTACCAGAACTCCAAGCCAGCGACTCCCCCTTAACTTAAAACAAAGATCGCGCTCGGTTTCTTTTCAGAATATATGCTAGCCAGTGGAAACACGAGACACACGCACGCGCGCACACACACACTTAGATGGTTGCTCGCAAGAGCTAGGATCAGTATGAAGTCCCACTTTACACGCATTAGACCT